TCTTTAACACCGGCTGCTTCTTTGCCACGCGCTAGCAGAGGTAGGGTTTCTTCCATCGGACGAACTTCGCAGCCTTGCCGAGTTCAAACAGTGACTCTGCTGCAAGCGAAGAAAGGAAGCACGGCCAGGTGTTTTGGGCGCAACAGAGCCGGTGTTTTGTAATTCCGTTGTCGACATCGCCTTTGGCCTGTTAATCTGTGGCCTGTTTGCTGTTTGTTTTGTGAATTCAAGATGCTGCAAGTCAAACTGCAGCTGCCAGGCAAGGCATGCTGGAGTACCATCGGCAGCTACTTGCTACGCAATTGGTGCTTGGTTGGGCCGGTCGCCATGCCAGCCCATCACTTTGTGTGAGAGCACCAAGGTATCTCTCTCTGAGCTTTCCAGTGGCACCTCGCCAGGCTCCAGCAACTCAGCGGCACCTCCTGGAGTAGGCAGAATAGCCTAAGCATGTCTAAGCTTTTGGCACGCCTTCATGTACAACAGCTCCAGCCGGCGTTGTTCAACCGTGTCATACCTGTCATGTTAGGTTGACATGTCAATTCGTGCATTTGCCTGTCAGAAGCGAAGCAAGGAAAGCGGCAGATGAAACAACCATAAACAAGCTTCCGTCGCTTCCGCCCGGAGGGCAGAAGCCAGGCACAATTTTGAACCCAGGGTGCTGACACTCTGTTTTGGTCTGGGTATAGGTTTGCAAGTGAAAGCTGTTGCGCTGCTGCCTGGCTCCTCGATCCCTTTAGAACTTGGCACGCAAGCGCAAAGGTCAACTACAACCCCGCCACTGCCTGGGCTTGCGGAGCAACGGCCCAAGAGAGCGGAAAGCCCTGCGTCGAGCTGACTTGCTAGGTTTGCCTTCGTGTCAACGCCAATGGGCAGAGGAAACGTAGTTGCAACATCATTCGCAGCAGCCATGGATTTGATTTGATTTTGTGCACTTGTTAGATCAGTGGCGGTTGCTTTTCACTTGGGCAAACGCCCTGTCGCACCCACCAAGCTGCAGCTGAAACAAGTACTTAAGATGCGAAGGCAGCAGCTTTGATTGAGTGCTGCTCCTCTACTCGGATTCAGCCAGCAGCCAGGGCTTGAATCGTAAGTTAGCTGCAATGGTTTCGACTGGCAGGCCCATTGATCAGTGCCGCCATGCCACGTTTGCACCTTTCAGTGGTCAGGGTTCGTTTGTCAGTGGTCAACTTGACCAGTGACTGGTACAAGCGCAACAGGTCTGACACAAAAACGCGACATGGCACCCAGAACGGAGCATAGCAGGAACAAAGTAAGGCGCAACAGCGGAATCTCCAAAATGACGGGTCGCAGGTTGTTACTTATAACATGCTTGGTTGGGAAGCTACGTTGCCTGCCTTTGACTTTGCGGGCTTGCGCCCTGGCTCCAAGCCCGCCATAGGTTCAGATGGCAGCATTGACTCTGGGCGGTGGAGGTCGCGCCGATGGTGCCTGGGTGCCCAGCACACACCTGGATGTCATTTTTTTTTTTTTTTTGGGGGGGGGGGTCAGTGGGGGAACCGGTGTTTTTTTTTTTTTACTAGCCCCGGCTCGGGGCTTAACCCCGGCTCGAAAACTGGTTGGTTAGTTGGTTGGTTGGTTGGTTGGCCCCGGCTCGGGGCTTAACCCCGGCTCGGAGACTGGTTGGTTAGTTGGTTGGTTGGTTGGTTGGTTGGTTGGTTGGTCAGCTGGGCGGCCGCATCCCCAGCATCCCAAGCATTTCCGGTTTCTTGTCACGGCTGCGTATGGGGCATGACTTGATGCTCGGGATAGCCAGCCGCATCGCCAGGATTACTGGCCTCACTCGGATGAGAGCTGCCTATTGGCTTTGATTTGGTGGCAGTTCAGGGTTGATCGGGGCTGGTTTGGGCTGAGTGTTGGGCTTGCTGAGATATTAATGCGGGCGGGTCTTGGGTTTGTTTGGGGTTCATTTAGCCTCGGCAAAGGGCCGATATGCAGGATGCGGTTGGGAGGGTTTCAGGTTGACTTTGGGTCGGTTTTGGCTTGGTTGGGGCTGATTCGTGCTAGATGTGCGGCTGGTTTAGCCGTGGCTTTCGGGTTGCTTCAGGGATGTGGTTCTGCAAGTTTTGGGGCCAGGATTGGTTGTGGGGCGTTGCCCCAAACCACCAATCCTAGCCCAAAACTTGCAGAACCACATCCCTGAAGCAACCCGAAAGCCACGGCTAAACCAGCCGCACATCTAGCACGAATCAGCCCCAACCAAGCAAAAACCGACCCAAAGTCAACCTGAAACCCTCCCAACCGCATCCTGCATATCGGCCCTTTGCCGAGGCTAAATGAACCCCAAACAAACCCAAGACCCGCCCCGCATTACTATTTCAGCAAGCCCAACACTCACCCCAAACCAGCCCCGATCAACCCTGAACTGCCACCAAATCAAAGCCAATAGGCAGCTCTCGTCCGAGTGAGGCCAGTAATGCTGGCGATGCGGCTGGCTATCCCGAGCATCAAGTCATGCCCCATATGCAGCCGTGACAAGAAGCCGGTATTGCTGGCGATGATGCCACCAACCCCCAGCCCAACCTCTTTGGAGGCCTTGTGCCGAGCCGGGGCTAGTAAAAAGCCGGGCTAGTAAAAAAAAAACACCTCAACCGTCAGTGGGCGCATATATTTTCTGTTTGCGCGTGCGAGATTGACAGCCAACGTGACTTTTCACTCGACGCCATCCGGCAGCTCAATGGTTCCCAGGCTGTGTTGGCGCAGACCGGCCTGTTCTCCCTCAATGGGAGCTGTGGCTATGTGCTGAGCCTTGGAAGAAATTTGCTACACAAAGCGCCAGTCAGCCATGCTGTGCAGAAACCGTTGCAATAGGGTTTGGCTCGTTCTGGCTTCAAAGAGTCTTGAGGAAGCCACCATACTTGCGGAACGTCTTGGAGGATGGCCAAGCCGCCGGGCCCTTATCAGGCCAAGAGGCGCAGGGGAGCCAGTCTTCGATGCGAGGTGGCAGCTGCCCCACCAAAACCGATCTACCTTGAGGCGCATTGCCAAGCAGAAGTCACGGAGAGCAGGGAACAAGGGGATTTTCCAGGGAGTTGAGAAGGAACGGTTCAGATTGCAGGTGCGTGTGGTAGCAGCACGGGCAGTGCCCGGCCTTGAAGATTTGCTACCCGTGGGTCCTGTGGCCAGATCCTTGGGCTGCCAAGTTTGGTAGGCAGCCAAGCCGAAAGCTTGGCGCTGCAGGTCTTGGGCGCCAGTGTTTGGGGAGTTCCCGCGGACTGTGCACGCCAGGCGCGTCAAGTGCTGAGTGGGAGACATCAGACTGCTCTGATCCTGGCAAGGATTACCAGCCCATCAAGCCGACTGGGCTGGTTCTTCATTGGCCAGACGTGACTTGGGCCGCACTCAGTCCCAGCACAGCAGTCATGGCCAAGCCGCATTGTTTGGTGCTTCATGTGCAAAGCTGAGGCGGCTGGACTGGCAGCCTGGCTGAAACGTGATCCAAAAAGGCATCACATCCAGCAGGATTCCATGAATGCAACATTTCAACCCATGCCGGGCAAGAGCTTCACTTTCATGCGGATATGCAGGCTGAAACTGTTGGCTGGATTTCGACTTGCCGGCGCCTGCTGCATGCTGAGGGCTTCAACGTGGCAGCTCCACAAGCTGCGATCCTGGTTGTGGGAGCCTCAGGTTTCTTCGTCGTCGATGTCGTCGTTGTGATCGTCATCGTCATCGTTTTCATCGTCGCCTTCGTCGTTGTCCGGGTCATGGTCGTGCTTGTTGAGGTAGAGCTGCATGAGCTGGACAACACGGCGGGAGGCTGCCTTGGACAAAGGGGCATGAAGGGGCATGGGAAACTTAGCAGAGCAGCCGAACCAAAATGCAAGCTTGCGCGAATGCTTGCAAGTGCGTCCCAAGTGCTTGTGATGTGAACAATCGTTTTCGAGACATCAACGCGATAGGAGAGCCGGTCTTGGCTTGGTTACTTGCTTTTGCTTCAAGGTCAGTCATGAGCCTTGTGTTCTGCACTGACACCGCGCACTTGCCATGAGAGAGCTTCCATTGGCATCAGGCTACAAGCGTGTCGCGTTCTTTGCTGCTCCAGTGCCTGTGTCCCAGGCAACACACCTGACAGGCGGCCACATTGAAAATACCACGGGGTGAAGTCAATGGAGAATGGGCTGGGGGAGGGGTTGCGCACGTGCTGAAATCCGAGCATATCCGAGCCCCGAGCCCAGGCATGGACTGCGGCAAGGGCTGCGATGGCTGCCTCTTCTCTCTGCGCAGGGCGGGCAGCTCAGAAGGAAAGATGTTGGCTGAGCTCTGTTTCCACGGATCCTTGGATTTAGCGTGCTCCCATGGTCGGCAATCCACGAAGCATTCGCAGGCGGCAGATGGCCCACCATCCATGGAGCGCTCAGCGGGATGCTGGCACACATTTCTGTCGTGGAAGGAGGTGCCTGGACTGATGCCTCAGGCCTTCGAACTCAACGAAAGCACAGCATTCAGCAGGTTGGGTTGTCAAGATCACCTATAAGCCCCCGACTTGCCAACCACAATCAGGCACAGGGAGAGCTGAATTGTGATTGCACCGAGGCAGGCGCGTGTCTCTCCAAAGGGGATCGCCACTGGGACCTGGGTAATTCCGTGCCGCTTTGCAGCCAATGTACCGAGTTCGATGTGAGAGTGAAGGCATCTTTTCAGGTGGACCTGGCTAAAGCCAGAGACCACAGCCTTCAGAGAGGGCAATGCAAGAGGGCAAGCCTGCGCGGAGCCACCTGCAACAAATGCTGTACAGGTTGCAAGGTGCATGCCACAGTACAGAGATCATGGCAACCCGCAAGCAACTCCAGATGCCATGTAACTTGTGCATGGCCAAGTGCAAGAAAACTTCATGTGCGCGAGCTGGGGCGATGACTTTCATGCAAAGCGACGACTATCCAGGAAGCGCCAAGCGCAAGAGACAGACCACATACGAACACAGCTAGCCATGAGCTTTCGTCAAACTCTGGCCTTCATGGGACACATTGGGAATTGGCCAGGTGCCCGCCAGCCACAGGAGGCACAACTGAGTTGACAGCCAAAGCCTTGCTGCAGCCTCAAAGGTTTTGGGTTGGTCAGAGCAGTAGCCCTGATGTTCAATCCTTGTATTCTTGTTTGCACCTGGGTTTCTTGCAAGACTATCTTGTTTGGACTGATGCTCAGGCAGGAGCTCGGCTTCGCCTCGCTGGAGCCTGCTGCGTACTCAATGCCAAAGGCTGAGAGCGTGGGGGGGTGGCGCTGGTGCGCTCAGGGGCATCCCGCAGCTGTTCATGTTATTGCCGCGGCTCTTCTTCGAGCACCGGCAGAGGCAGATGATGTGGTTTCATATTTGCGGTGATTTGCGTGTCTGCGCAGGCAGTGACGAAGCCAACTTTAAGCCTCTTGACCCTGTCAGCACCTCAAATGTTTGATTCATTTGTTGCGACTTGGAACTCTTTCACATGAGTGTCGGTTTATTTTTCGTCCATGCAAATTTACAGGGTTTTTAAAAACCACTGCCACATGGCCACGCAGGCTTCCTGGCTGCCCGCATCCCGAGGATGGCGGAGCTGCTCCACAAGGCCGCGGAGTCTGCGGTGGCCAAGCTGGAGAAGTCCACGGCGCAGATGGAGGACGTCCGAGTCGGCCGAGCAAACGAACGAACGAACAGGTTCTTGAGATGTAGTGGGAGAAGGTGGCAATTGAAGATACCATGTACATGTCGAACCGTGCAGAAATGAAGCCCAAAGAAGGAAGAATCCACAAATTTGAAGGGATGCCGGTGGACACCATCCATTTTGACGGCTTCAGGTTGCTTTGCAGCAAGATGATGAACGCACAAGCCTGCTCGTTTTTTGTGGCTTGCGCAATTCCATAGGCACTGGCAGTCATGCCTTTTGGAAGGAATGTGTACAGTAATTCAGCTTCACACACTGCTCTTTAAGTCTGTCGCTATCCCCAGTGCTGTGCGCAAATCAGGCATTTGAGCCAGTGGCGCACCCCATCGGCCAATCCTGTTCTTTGGTTGCCAACTTTTCGGTGCTTCCGGCAAACTTGGTCCATTTTCTCAGGATGCCCTGGAAAGACGCAGCCTTAGGGCCGATGCCTCAGTGCGCTTCACTGGCTTCACTGCAGTTTGGGCATCTGAAAACGAGCATGGCGAGCCTCAGGCTTGGCGGGGGCCGTTGCGGAGGTGGCTGGAGCACTTGCAAGAAGCAGGCAGGACACTGCCCGTAGCGCCGCTTTGGGGAGGACAAGAGGGAAATCTAACACAAATTGGGGGTCAGAATTGGGCCTACTCAAGTAATTAGGTTCTCAGGAACTGCTCAGTACTGGCTTAGAAGTGTCTTAGCATCACTCTAGTATTGCTTTGTGCTCGTCCACTGGTGAGTTGGCCGCATGGAAGGCGTGATGCCACAAGCTGACCAAACGCCCCTTGAAAGACGTGGAGTTTGGCCACCTGAAAAGAAGTCAGGAGGAGAATATTTTGTTCGCGCCTAACTTGTCGGTATTTCCACTCCCTGTTCATGTCCAGGGTGGGCAGTTTATTGTGTGGAACACTTTTTGCTACCCGACGCTAAGTAAGTTTCAGGTGATGGCAAATGGATGCCAATAGCAAAACCTGGAACCAATGAAGGCAGGCAGCGAACCAACCGCAGGAGGAGTTATCTCCTTCACTTGACGTTTTGGATTCAATGCAGGCATCTGCAGCCGCACCTCCCCCCTGGGCGCCAGCAGCTCAGGTTGGAACACCAGCAGAGGTGCCGGAGCAAGCGATGCCTGGCCAATCCTATAGATCTCATACCGATTTGCAAGCTGTTGATGTCGCCGGATTTTGACCGCACATCACCATCCGTTTGCAGCTCGGCTGCCGAGGCCTGGGTTAACGGCAGCATTGGAGTGCTGGACGAGTTGCCGCTGTACTGACCCGGGAGAAAGACAGAGCTGTAGCAAGCAGAGGCAGTCGGCCCACCACAAGGCAAGACCACAACAGGCAGAAGCCGGGGGAGTTTGACCTGGATATTTCGAGCGCATTCAGTTTGGAGTGTTTGGCATGGCAAGGGTTTGACTGAATTGTCGGGCCGCCGGCTCACAGTGAACTTGGGCCAGCCCGCTTATGGGTGCCAGGCGGGTAGAACGCAACAAGGTGCAACCAGGGAAGCGACTGGTGCTTCTGCAGGCAAAGCATGGCGACCTCGAGGCTGAGCAGAATGAGCGGCCCATGGGTGTGCCGTTTCTTTTGACAGGTGGACTCGGCTGCCGCAGACTCTGCGACTCCTTCCGCTGCAGAGTTCCAAGCGTTGCCGCTGCTTCGGCAGTTTCTCAGGACATGGCTCCTTGAAATTACAAGGTCACCAGGAGCATGAAGCTGCCGTAGCCTGGTCAGGAGGTGCCCTTCCAGATGGCGCGCAAAGGACGCGCGGAAGCATGGCAGCAGCATCATATTTGTCTCTCCTCGTGCTCAGGAGCACTGCGCATGTGGCCAAGCCTGGGTTAGATGACCAGGCGACCTGTTTGAAGCGCTTTCGCATTCTCATTGTTTGAGACCATTGCGCAAGGTCTGGCTTTTTTGTGCAGCGAGTGCAGCTGGTGCGATGGCTGCCCTGAGCATGCTTGAGAGCTGGGGAGCGTGCAAATTGGGAAACACCATCAATGACTTGCGAATTCTTACAGATGCTGCTGATGAAACACGAAAACATTAGCCGTGAAGGCGGTCAGGGCATGAACCTGCCAGTGTTAAAATTCCTCCAGGCTATGTGTCCCCTCTTCTTGCAAACATGTTTGGCATGTAGGGTTGCCAAGAAATGCGCCCTAGCAAAACATGCAAGTTGTCACACTGATGCTGGAACATTCTGGGATGAATTTGGCCGATTTCGCTCTGACTTGCCAGCAGGCTGCAAGCAAAAGACTCCTGGTGTTATCCTTTTCAGTGACCTTTGCCTGACAGGCCTTGTCTTTCCTCGACTCCAGGCCCGCAGTGCTGTCTCTAAGCCGATTAGCCCTGAGCTTGTCATCTAGATATTGTGGCCCCCCTTCCCCCCAAAACAACAAGACAGCAAAAGCAAAGAATAGAAATGAACATGAGCTTCAGGAGACCTGCAGGCTGCTACTACGAGAAGTCACCGAGTGGCGAAGTGGACCGGCTGAGGAGGTACACCGTGGTGTTTTTTTTTCTCCACGTCACCTGAACTGCCCGGCCACAGGTGGTCCAGAGTCTTCTGGAATCTTCCATCCGGCCAGCGCCTCAAGACTTGGCTCAAATCGAGACGCGCTTTCGGTTTTAAAGTTGCACGTCTTGCTATGTTGGCCACAGTGGTGCGTCTTGGCCTCAGCTGGGTGAACAAGTCAACACAGCTGGCCGATCAGGCAAGCGATTCACTGTCTAGCCACCCACAGCAAGCTGTATTCGGGATTTCACCGTTGGGCGCCCAATCACCAGCTGGATTAAGGCATCTCGCCCAACTTCCATGAGACCGAGGCACCATTTCTTGGTGATGCTGCTTGGTCCGCCAAATCTTGGTTCTCTTGCAGGTGAACCCCCACCTCGAGAAGCACATTCCGCGCTGGACCGCTGGAATGCCCTCCCCCGATGCTGCGGATAAGGCAGAATCCTACCAACATATGTATGCTTTGAGACCGAACTATCATCACCTCAGGCATCAGTGCCGCGAGTTCTCGTGCCACTTTGCGGAAAGTCGGTCGACATGACCAGCGCTTAGCCTGCCATCTCCTGTTTCGCGTAGCATTTGTGTATTACTGAGGCGAGGATGGATGTTTAGCTAAGCTAATGAATCCTGCTGGTCAATATAATTAGTAAACGCCTGCCCCGCCAAGGTCGTCAAGGTCCAGAGAAAAGAAACACACACACACATGTTAAAACCAGTTGTTGGAGTCTCCCGGCCAGCTGTTTTTTGTTCTTCGAGTGCTGGAGGGCCATAATGGCTAGTAAGGGGGTTTCGTGCTAGGGAAAACTGGACTTGAAGCCTCGAAGCGGGGAACCTTTGTGAGCTTGTCAAACCTTGGTTTGTTCAAACAAACTGTGCAGTAGCATCCTTGGAACCATGAAATACTGTAGCCCAGGAAGATGTATTTTCAATAGCTTTTGCAATTTGGTGTTTTTTTTGTTTAATACACGGAAGGTTACATTGTATATTATTCTTATTTATTCATTGATTTTATTATTCTTTTTTGGGAGTGAAATCAGGATGACCTACTTGCCCAACATGGAACGTAGCCTTGGTGAGGGGACTTGGGGGGGCGGGGCGGGCGGGATAGCATTGATCAGGGGATTACCAATCATGTCCCAACATCATTCGATTTGAGCCGTGATATGCCATTGGGACCACAAACGTGACACACTTGGCATTACTCAGCAGCAGGGCCGCATCAATTTCTTGTCGGTGTCAAAGGCCATACCTCTGCGAGCTGGGCTATGGCGTGGTTGGGGTCGAGGCATGTGGTGCGTGCACCGTGCAAGCTCTCGCAAAGTGTGTAGCCAGGGCGTCCAGCGCGGAATCCTCGAGTTCAAAGCAGAGCATCAAGTGAGAGACATGGCCTGAGATGCTGGAAATTCACTGGCATAAGAACACGATCCACCTTGACATGTCCAGCCATAGTTTACGGAAGAAACCCTAACCTCATGCTCCATTCGGGTTGGTTCTCATTGCTGCTTGACCAGCCGGCAGCACAGGTCAAGGGCATGAAGTCCCCGGTCGTTGTCTCCAAAGATGACCAAGGTGCGGCCATGCCTTTGCCAGGTGTTCATCTCACACGGCATGGATTGATTCAGGGTTTTGTAAATCGCCAAGCCACACACACAAAATTGGTCGAGACGGGCTAACCGAAGGAAGAGACACTGGTACATTCGATGCAAGGACCTGGGTGGCACGAAGGGGCCGCTTTCGTCCCCGCGAAGAAATTCCAGGGAGCAAGGACGAGAGTTTGTGGGCTTTGTCAGGGCCGGCATTTTTTTTACATTTGAGTTTGCATGAAGTACGCATATTTCGATATAGAAACACATGATGATTGATACATATGTCTGTGCATGTAGCTATGCGCGTGTTTAACATACGGGTAGACATGTATATATGACATATCATCTACATAGTTTAATTTGTTTCTCACATCTCTGGTTCCAGGAGAAACTATGTCTTCAAGACCGGTGCGCAAGGGTAGGTGGCTGAGTGCCATACTCGCAAAGCCGGCGGCAGCACAATATGGGGAAGATATCCTGGTGTCCTTGCAATGCTTCATTTGGCCCTTTCAACTGAGCCACGCCAGCTTTGTGGCATCTTGTTCTGCAGGTTGGGGTACTACTCTGAGCGGCCTGCCGTTTGGCGCGGCAAGGCCGCCAACATACAAGCTTGTGCAAGCAGGATGAGACTGGGCATCCAGCTTGCTGTGTGCGGTTGCAGGTGAATCTGGGCAGAAGACGTGCCCCACTGCACATCATTGAAGGAGATATGCGAAAGCCTAGGGGCATCCACGCCATGTTTTTCAGTCGTCAAAAACTTGGCCTCTTTTGCGTGTGCCTGAGGCTAGACGTCACGCCAGAGGTAGTTGCAGCATCGACCTTCAATACTGATGGAAGGCATTCAAGCCATTGTCGGTGAGTTCTTCCAGACAATTTGCAGCGTTGGCATGCCGATTTGCCTTGTGACTTGAGCGGGTCATTCTAGCGTAGGTTCGACTTGGTTTACGACCGGGATGCATTTGCACCTTGGCAGACACGGGCGCTGACAGGGTTGCTAGCCCACCTGCCCGCGCGACACTGCCAACATGATTGTCCAAGGCTGCCCTTCCACCGGATGCTTGGAGCGAGCCACAGCCCCAGAGCAGACTAAGTATATAAGTACATGTGAATATGTATACAGTGAACATGTCCAAATATATAGATACATACATGTACACTTGTACATATATATATATATATTATACATCTAATATATGCTTTTATAAGTTCAATCAGTTTGCTTTTGTGGATCCATTTCAAGGTCGCCGTGAAACATGTGCTCTAACTTATGCGTGTTGGCACGTATTGACAAGGCGTTGCAGCATCGAGCAGGGAAGATGCCCGCGCCATGTCGGCCTTTTGGATATTGACCTGCTGGCTATGGGGGAGGCAAGCTGGAGGCAAGTCAAGCAAGAGGCGCGGCTGGGTTGAAGCAACGACGACGTCATGATGGGTGCGGCTCCGACTTGTGCTTGCTCTGCCGGGTCGAGGGGCTGTTTTGCACGGAAGGTGGGCTGTTGATGATCCTGCGAATCGCGTGCTGCCACAAACATGGCTGCAAGACAAGCTCATGCAATTGAACCCTGCCTGTTGGGGGCGCCTGGGGCGGCTCGGACGCATGCAGCTCCACTGCATGTGTTGGTTGAAGAGGGGCGGGTCGTATTTGAATGGCAAGTTGGGCTGCCCAGACGAGCAGCGCCCAGGAAGGAAATCCTCACGTTCGACTTGTGCTGCCGCGGTGCTGAGTCTGTGATGCTTCGAGCAGATGGCAAGGAGGCTCGGGTTGAAAGCGTGTGATTTGCGGCGGACGGAACCCAAAGCAAGAGATGCTGTTGAACGATGCTGAGATTTCTGTAAACTGCGAAGGGTGCATAACAAGCACAACAACCATTGCATTTTTGAATTTTCATTCCAGAGCGTCCGCAGCTTCCGGCGGCTTGCCCAAAAACCCGAGCAAATCAATGGCACGGTTTGGGGAGGAGCGACTGGAAAGCCTCGGGGGACACCCGCAGTGCTTTACTGGACACCCTCGGCACCTTTCCTTCGACGACTGCTGCTCCTGGCCTCGCCTCCTCCGCCCAACCCTGCAGCTGGCAGCCGCGCTGCTACGCGAAAACCCGCCGCTGGAGGACCCGCGAATTCCCGGCGCATTCGCTTGGTGGCAGCAGTTGAGAATCCAGCGAGCCAATCATGATGCTAACCCATCAACACAACAATTTGTCCACTTCAAGAAGCCGCAGGGATTTGCAGGCATCTCGGATGTCGGCGCCAGGCTTGAAACATTTGCCAGCTTTTGACAGGCCCCCAGACTGGACGGCGCAGACTGCCCGGATTCACTGAACTGGGTGGAGTTGGGTGCGGCCGCTGCCGGCCTGGAAGCTGAGAGCGGCTTGGTAAAGTGCGGTTTTGCGAAGCGGCTGTCGGCCAGGCTCCTTGACGTATTGCACGACGGGAAGATAGACCCTAGACGTCCTTTGCCCTTGCTGAATTGAAGGAGTATTTGCTTTGAAGCAGTTCTCACGACATGGTCATACCGTACCTGATCCAACACAGGATCCGTTTTGGTGTTTGCAGAAGTTGATAAAACAAATTGCCCCACATTTGGCAAGAATGCGCGAAAGCCCTGTAAAATAGCCCCCTTCCCAAGAGAAGCGACGCCCCTCCGGGCACCACTTCATATTGGCTGTTGGGTGGAACCCTGGAACATACTGGAATGCTGCAGATGTACTTTGTCACTGCGAGCTGGGGGAAGAATGTCCGCAAGACGCTGTATAGCCCCCGAAAAGCGAGACCCACGTCAAAGGAATCTGACAGCAGAATCGCAAATTGGCTTGATGGGGCCGCAGTTGGCACATCCAACCAACCGGTTTCCCGGTGAGGATCCTCAGAGAGCGTCAAAGCTGGAGCACTGCTCGTGGCATCCAGCCCAGCTTCAGCTGACGACCTGGTCGTGGTCCGAAAATGCACATGCCTCGCCCAACTGGCACTACTACGCAGAAGCAGCGGATGCATGGCTTAAGTTTTGAGGCCATGTAGGCCATTTAGCGCACCGACTGGGAAACCATAAGTCAGGGGGTACCGCAGAGAGACTAAATATGATATATGCCGAACATGTGCCAACTCTCCTGAGGACTTGCAAGCATGCTCGACACCGATCAATTGGCGGCAAGACCGTTCCTTCTGCAAGCCGTACACCAGGCATTGTTGGGTTTCCGGCTTTTGGCCAGCTTCGCGCAATACCGTGGCTTTTCTGAGAAGACCTGTGCTCACCAAATGGCAGCGCTTCAAGCAATTCGATCGGATCTTCTGAAAGTTGAAGGCGGGGTTTGCTTCTTCCCTGCCTGGTCATGTGCCTTCGCTGCCAGGTGTCTTTGATGTGGCACCCCCTATGGGGATGGACCACTCCTTGCGGCTGCGGCGCATCCACGACAGCAAAGGGTTCGCCGCTGACCCAAGCCCAGCCGGGTCCGAGGTGGTGCGGCAGCTGTGGGAAGCTGAAGGCCGTGCAATGAGTGCGGCATACTTGACCTCAGCTTCAGCGCCTATGCTGCAGCTATGGGAGGCATTGGACAGACTTCTGCACGGGCGACGGTCCAAGCCAGCCTTCCAACTTCCGCATGCAGAACCACAGCAAACTCAGCACACAAGCTGCCAGCAAGCGCGGCAACACTACTTCGAGGCAAAGACGGGCTCATTCTTGGCAGCGGCTGCAGCATACGAGGAGCTGCAGCGGTGCAGTGAGATTGAGGTTCCAATGATTTTTTGGCAGAACCAAGCGTGCATGACTGGCAACCACCTCCTCAGCCTTGCTTCCACAGCTGCTTAGCTAGTGGCAGAGTTGGGGTCAGAAACTTTACATTTGGCCTTCTCAAGGCAAACCCGTATGGACCTTGCAAAGTGCGCATCTGCAACTGTAGGTGAACAATCTGAATTCGCAACTCACAGGAAAATGTTTGATAAGGGTCGATGACAAAATGTGGTGAGCATTCCCTGTCTAAACATGTTGTGTATCACACCAAGGTTTTACTCGCAATGCTCTTGGGCCGCGGTTTCCGCTTCCGGGCCTCCGTGCCTCAGCGCAATTCAGGCGGCATGAATTGAGTGAGCATCGCCAGTGCCTTGCTAGTGTCTTGCTTCAGGATTTTCCTGGTGGCGTATCTTGCGACCGGGTGCTGACTGGTCCTTTGTGCTCGTGGTCGCTTGAGCCGTCTACCTTTGATGCGATGGCGCAGCCACCGGCTGCCACCCAACTGAGAAGCCCCCTCAGGCAGCTGCAGCCTTTTACTTGCCATCCATTTGGGCGCTCCGTTCACAATGAAAGACTATCAATGTACAGCTGTGACAGGTCTTCATTATCAGACCATAGAGTAAAATCGAAGCCTGACTTCACTTTTACCTGTCATTAAAAGGAAGACAGGTAATCCTTTAAAGTGAACGCAGGATAGAGAAGTGAAATTGCGAAGTGATTAAGCATTCCATCATTTGTTCATTGTTGCTCTAGTCTAATTCCTTGAAAGGTGTAGACAAGGATTAAAGATGAGGCGGGCATCAAGACAATTATTTCTTCTGCCATCTTACCAAACAGTGCAACACAATGGTACAACATGCTTAGATGATAATTATGTCTTTCCTATATTTTCCATTTCCAAAGCTTGACAGATAGAAGTATAGTGCTATTTCTCGATCAACATGCCGTCCTCTCTCTCTGTCCCACTCCTCTTAATTCATTGTGGGACAGCATGCGGTGGCTGAAAGACTCTGAGGTGACGTACTCCTATGCATCCTTCCAGGAGTGCTTGCCCTTCTTGCAGCGTCTCTACGGGTTCACCGCGTTATCGAAGGCTGCGGGGCTGGGGGGGGTGGTGGTCAAAGTCCATTCGCACGCTTGGCGGCGTTGCCCAAGACCTGGCAGGCTGGTGAGATGGATCTCCCACATCTGGTGGTCAAGGACCAGTGCCAATATTTTGTTCCCAGCCTCTTCCGCAACCCTAGGATGCGGCCACTTTTGGAGCGCTGGTTCTGGCAAGCCGGCTCCAGGTGGAAGGTCTTTAGCCCGCTGGGGCGCTGGCTTTTTGGCGATTTGGCCTCACATTTGGAACACCGGGTTACGTCCTTCGTGCAGGTGCACAAGCTTTACCCTGGGGCAAGCAACCGGTTTCGAGCTTGTGCTCAAAATCGCTTCGTAGAAGCAGCTGATTGGTGGGCGCGATGCATCAGAGAACTTTCTGCTGGTGCTAGCACCCAAGTCTTTATAGCTACCATAGAGTTGCAGGCTCAGTTGTGTGCACAACTAGTACGAAACATGCAATGTCCCGCAAGCCTTGCAATTCATGCAGTGGTGCATTTTCTGGGAGGCACTCATTTTTGACGGAAATGGCTCGCGGTTTTGGCAGAGCCAACCTGACATATGCCACTGCCACTTGGGCCCGGCGGCCAGACGACATCCCGCATGTCTTTAGCTCCTTCATCGATATGTGGCTTTTAGGCCGCGCTTGCGACGACGCCTTGCTGATTTTAGCCCTGCCTCGTGCTTTCACTGCACTTGGGATGCACAGCCATGAGCCGCAAGGTAGCTGTGACAACTTCACACTCGACGTTCGGCTATGTGGGACCTGCATTGTTTGGGGTTCCTCGGCCGCTTGTTTGCAACTGGGATTAGCAGTGCTAGAGGCCTGTGACTGAGACTCGCCACAGAAATGCTGAGGATTTCCGGCCCAGGAACGGCTGGTGCTGCGTACGGTGGGAGGCAGCGACCGGGAAAGTGGTGGCAACGGATGCCAGCCTGCAGCTTCCATGGAGCGGAGGAGCCTTTCCGCTCAAAACTACACAGTCTAGCCAGTCTAGCTATCAGCAGGCCATTCAAAATTGGCACCTGGTTTATTTTTCACAGTGTGAATCAAACACACGAATCGCAACGTGCCTCCATAGTGAGGTCTTTCGGTTTGGGCTTTGCCTTGCTTTGCACTTTTGAGATTGGTCGATACGGCATGTTTGTTCAACAATTTGAAGGCGACATCGGCTGGGTTTAGATCGTTAAGGTATTAAAGTCAGATGTGATTCTATTTGCAACCGATTCGCCGATTCGCTTCTTTTGGTTTGAGGGGATTATACTGTATGGCAAGTCCAATATATGGTTTTAAGTTCATTTGATGAGTCCTATCTTACATCCGCAGGTGAGAGAAGAGAGAGAAAGAGAGAGAGATGGAGAGAGAGAGGGGGCCCGAGCTACCCAATGATATACCAGAAATCCATGATTTACTCAGAATGTCATTCAAGATGAAATAGTCCATGCCCTGGCAAACTACACAGCCGTTTCATAAATCAGTCGGAGGGAGGGTAAACCCAAGATTGTTTGTTTTCGTGTCATGCCAGTTGGCCTATCCTGACATTTGCCTGCATCCCAGGAGGCCCTCAGGAAAAAGAGCCCGCAGCTTGGCAGAAAGATGGCTAGATACCCCGTGGTGGTGCTTGGCACGTTTGGAATTGGGTTTGCTTTTTGCAGCTGGGCAGTTTGTGTTCCGCGGGGTTTCGGCTTGGCCTCACCTTTGGCATTTGGGAGTAAGTCACACCTGGCATGGCAGCTTGGGCTTGCCCTGGCCCCTCCTGAAGGGACACTCTCGCCATCTCTCGCCAACATTCAGTGACCAGATGTGCGGAATATGGCAAGAAGGTGCATGCACGCAATTTCACGGTTGACCCACGGCCGATTGGCAGCTCAGGCAGGTTTTCTCCTTCGAGCCCTGCAGCCATTTCCTGCAGATGGACTGGCCGCATTGGAACCGCAGCAAGTGCGCCCAGGCAGATTTTCCGCCTGGTTTGCTTCAAATTCCGTCCGCGCCTGGCTCGCAGACTTGGCAGCCTCGAACTTCCACTAGGCAGTTCCCGTAGACATGATCGGAGCACATAATGCAGACAGCCCAAGCCAAGGAGCTCCTCCCGCGGTCCTGCTGAGTTGCGGGCAAAAAGTTCTCAGCGTGGATGACTTGACTTTCTCTTTCACAGGTAGATCTTTGTGAATCCTATGACATTTTGATGTTTGAGGTGCTTGGGCATATTCAAAACATGCCGGCTTCAAATGCTTCAGCTGCGGGATTCAAGGGCAAGCAATCCGTCTTGACGCCGGCGCCAAGGTACGCAGCTCGCTTGTCATCTCTGCTCCGTGTAGGCCCGAGGTTTTTTGTGCCCGCAGTTGCTGCATCATGTCTCGAGTCACCAGGAGGACGAATTCTCCTGGTGGCTTGACGCTCAGCCGCGCCAGTTCTTGAAGTTGGTTGCCTTTGTTGAAGCGACTGCCAGTGGGGTTCCGTGGGTCAACTGGGTGACACTATGTACTGGGGGGTTGGTGGTTTTCCACACTTGGCTCAGGGAAAATCGGCCCCTACCAGCCCACGAAGCAACATGGCTTGCCATTGCTTGTGCAGGCGGTGCAGTACGACCAGAACAAGCTGCCGTACGATCGCCTGCCTGGCATCCTTCAGGGCCTTGCTGTGCACAGTTGCAGCACAGAAGTTGAACGGAACGACAGGCACTCGGTACAACCCGCCACCGTTCAGTGTGAGCTCCTTAATTTGGCGTCACCTTGGGCAGCATATTGCAGCCGGATAGAAGAGGCGACTGGAATGACCCAAATTGCTCAGGTGACCCAGCAGGCTGTGAAGAGACTCTTCCCGGACTGTCCGTTATTTTGTGCTATGGTCAGCATTGATTTGGCTGGATTGAAGAGAGCGGTCTCCCCAGGAGCCATCCTGGTCTGTGACCCTGCTGGAGCTTGAGCCTTGCAAGGACGAATTTGTCTGTGGACTCAGTGGGGGCGGGGGGGTCAGTTGTGCTGCGATGTCTTTCTTCTTTGCTTTGTGTTGGACTTCGGCATGCCTTTCGCGCTGCGCGGCTCAATCCGTGTCATAGAGGCACGTACACATGAGAAAGGCCGTTGGCAGCTACCGGGTAGTTTGTGTGCAACAGCCTTCAGGCCCTCATGACATCAACTATTCTCTGTATTGACAGCAGTGTGTTTGCACTGCTGCCATGCTTTAGAAGCAAGCTTTGAGTGCCTGAACCTGTCTCACCCTGCCGGAGCCACCCCAGCCAGCAGTGCATCGGCGCGAGCTACACTTGCATTGAATTGCGCACGAGAATTTGGCATTGCGAGCAGGTGGCACCGGCTGATTGGAAGTTTCACCACGCATCAGCAAAGCAACGCAAGGTGACATGCTACAAGAGGGCAGTCTCGTAGAAGAATGATTAGGTGCATACTTGCCAGTCAGCACCTCAAGCACACCAATCGACCTTGGGTACCACCTCTGCCAGTCTTGGCTCTCTCCTGCTTGGCTTGTCTGTAGGGTCCATGTATGTTGCGCCCTTCGCCTCGCTGCCGCCGCTGACAGACAAGCGCAGCAAGGCATGGGCATGAGGCCAAGTCCATGCGAAATGTTCAACTTCGCTGCTCATGGGTTGGTTGCGCAGCACGTAGCTGCACGCATACACAAACACCCATTCTCCCTATGGTAGATTCATATTCATGCAGCCGATGTAAATCAATGCAGATGCGCACATCAGGCAGACAATGGCACAGGTTTGGCGCGCTGAGGCTCGGCACTTGGAGAATCGGCTCAGGGCGCTGACGGAGGAGCCTACGAGGCCTCAGACTCGGATCGAACTTTGCATGGGGTTTGCGGCCACTTCAGTGTGCCCCTGGCACAAAATGCGTCAATTGAGTAATGTAAGAATCTTCTGATTGAGTTGTGCGGGACTATGTGTGGCATTGAACTGAACCCTGATTACGACTCCCCCTGTTATTAATCAGGCGGGTCCCCCCTGGAAGCGAGGATGCCCCACTGAAACGGGACCCCCCTTAATAGTATGAAGTGGGGGGCTTATTAATCAGGGGTCAGCATTGCTCTGTTTGCCTGCCTGCCTGCATGCCTGTTTGTTGCCTAAGAAACGGCAGCAACAATCACAGCGAGAGGGGCTTCCTTGTGATTAGAAATCACCCAGGTTTGTCGGCAGAGCATCGGGATAGTCCGCACCAGCGCTTTTGGTCAGGGACAGAATGATGTTGCCAAGGAAGAACCTTCCCGCGGCTCACTTGACGCCCCTTCTTGCTGGCGGCACGCTCAGAAAATGCTTGTCCATTATCAAATAATGGCTGCCTCATTGTGCGGCCCCGCCCTCCCACTAGCTTGCAAATATGAGTCTGGTCTATTGCTGCAACCCACGCATTCCAGAAAGTGAAGCCACGCTTGATGGGAATTCGTGCTTGCAGGTCGCAGTGCGCCGAAAGCAGTTGAAGTGCCCAAAACGCAGCTTGACAGCACAAAGAAATGGAATTCTGAGGTAGGAAGCATGATTGAATCGTTTGTGTGTTGCATCGAACACTCTTTTAAACAAATAATATTCTGGCTCCTACTTGATGTCTGCCCGGGTTGTCCTAGTATGTCGGTGCCCCTGAACATCGGTGGGCACCTTCTTCGTTGCCTTGCTGAGTCAGACAAGACCCTCTGGATGCAACGGCAGAGAGAGAGAGAGCGAAACAAATATATCTTCACATCAGCGTCACCCAAGCTCGGCGCATCTGCCCTGCGAGGACGTTGCGCCCACAGAAGCGCACCACGTTGAGCCGAAAGGGGAAGGCAACCCGAGACGCCAAGCAATCTGCAAACTGCTTTGCCTCACGCCAAGTCATTGAATCTTGGCAGGTGCCGCAGCTTCCTTTCGGCTTGTGTTTTGCAGGGTCCACCGAATGTAGAGGCAGCCATGTCGGGGTGCGGCCAACAGAACAAAAAGCGCTCTTGGCCAGAGGAGCCGCCATCTTCAGTCCTGACATTCTTCAACGACGGTACTTTCAAACACATGCCAGTGGAGACGTCCTCCAATGACGCTGGGACCATGCCGCGCAACAGCAAGAGACAGGCGGTGACCACTGTGTTCGCTGCAGACGGACGCTTCGTGCATCTTCGGCATCAAGCAACTCCACCTGCCATCTTGCAGGGCGGGCATCGTCACGGTTCCTGCGGCCGCAGTTTGCTTCCTCAACAACACCGGGCCGGCCTTTGTGAAAAGCCCGCGGTTTGGGATGTGAAGAGCGGCAATGGCGGCCATGGGGTGTCCGAGAAGCTCTGTGAGGGTGGCACAGCCGCCCCGTCGAAGTCCTGGCTAGACTCACGGCTAGAGCGGGCCAGGCTCACGCCGGCGCCGGCAAGAGCCCCGGCCCCGACAGAATTGGAGACAGTCACCTTGGAGCTGCGGGTGGCAAGGACGGGTGCTGGCTGCAGCACGGCCAGTGCTGCCAAGCTTCGGATCAGCGCTTCTTCGACGGAAGTGTTGCAAAGTGCTTTGACAGAATCCGTTGGTGGCTTGCTCGCCACAGTGAAGCCTCTCAAATGATGGGTAAGAACTTTTGGATGGGTGAGGGCTCTCAATCCTCAACCTGGCACCATTTTTTTGCCGGCACGTGATTGCCGACGCGTGCAGCTCAGTGTACATAAAATCAAATCCGGCTGACAAAGCCCAGCCTCTCACTCTCCGGGATAGACAAGGCTGAAACGGCCCCCGTGCGTCGCAGAACGTTTGTGTTGAATCGTCCCAAGACAAAAACAGAAGCTGATGCGTTCAGCGCGCGCAGACCCCTTCCAGGTGGCCTGCAAGTCACGGCGGACGAGCCAGTCGCCCGACCTGAGGTGAGCCCCAAAGCAAACGCGCAGCCGTCGTTTTGATAGGACGCTTGTTGCCAGGTCCCCCACGAGTGCCTTTTTGCCCTTTTTCTGGGAGGGTCCCCCTAATATAAATAGACCACAGGAAAAAGGGGCACCCTGTATTTTGGTCCTCTCTCTTCTGGAGGACCTAGCTTCAGCCTCAGACGTAGCAGCTTGGGAGACGGGTTCCCTGGGAGGCCGCGGCGGCCGCCGCGGGAGCTGCCGCCTTGGCGGCCCGGAGGCTGGAGTTGGGGGCGGGAGGATCAGGGCCTGGGTTGCAATGATTTGAAGGCAGCAAGAGGAAGGTGCTGCTTTGGATTGCATCCAGCGCACCTTGGACCTTGGGTGTTAAACTTCGCGAGGCCGCCGACCTACCTCAGAGAATAGTTTCTGCTGGCTGAACCCCTGCTAGCTTCCAGCACTTTTTGTGATTCAGTGATTGGGGTTCCCTCCGATTCGATGTGTCACTATGTGTTTGTCTTTTTCTGCGCGCGTGCACACGGGGGGATTATTTCTATGTTATTATGCTACTATATCATTAAGTTCACTAGTTAAATCATGTAATCATAAAGGCTTAGGAATCCATTGAATCTATTTGATATTTGCTGGGTTCACTTTTGGACTCTCCGGCGCACATGTATGAGCCCTTGTAAGAATGCAATCACGTTCATCACGAAATATGGTTGTCTGCAGAAAGCGAGAACTTCTATCATATAAGCACAAATGTTGAGTCTGCTTTAATTTAATGTCCCCCTGAAGGGGGTTTGGGTTTTACTTCGACTTGCCAATGCTGAATGCAGTTGCCAAATGCTTAATTTAGTATTGCCAATGCGTAATTATATAGTATTGCCAATTCTCATTTTAGTATTGCCAAAACTTACTCTCAGATGCCCCGTGCTTATGTAATTTAGCATTGCCAATTCTAATTTAGTACTGCCAAGCCGGACGAGATTCCCAGTAATCAATTTAGTATTGCCGATTCCGATTTAGCATGGCAACCCTGACTGTTTGCCCTTAACTTGTTGGTAAAACGTTATCTTAAGTTTGATGGTTTGGGGGCCACTTGCAAAACTGATTCCTAGATCGAAGGCTATTACTCTTTTGAGCTGGAAAGAGATTGGTTGGGTGAACCACCCTTTAAACGTAAATGGCCAAGAGATTGATGCGGAACTATAGAAATCCCTCGCCCTAGAAAAAGAGTTGAACATTAAATTGGCCCGTGCTTTTTGTCCCTGATTGTGTTTAACACACTTTCCATTAAAGCGAGCCCCAAAACTGTCACATCTGAATCAGGAAAGAACTTTCAACAAAACGGCTCCAGTTATACAAGCAGCTCCGACATTAAAATGCATGGCTTTCTTATGATGTCATTGTTCGTAGTGCCTGGCTTGTTTGGAGGATTTGGAGATTATGTGTTACCTATGTTGCAAGGGTCTCCAGAAGTGGTGCATCCTAGAGTCAAACATTTGTGTATCATAGTTATTTTGCTTTCATATATGTTCCCAAATCTTTCTTTAATCTCAGAATTTGGAAGTGGCACAAGGACGGACATGATATCCACCAATGTCCACTTCTTTAATGACTGGGGTGTTCTGAAATTGGGCCGCAAGGTAGGCTTGCATCGGAAGCTTTTGCCCCGAAGGAGCTGCACCATCTTGAGCCATGCTAGACAAAAGCACCACGTGGCTCCCAGCACTCCAAGCACACGTTCTGCTCACCAGGCAGCTCCAAACCTTCAGCTACCCCAACCCTTCCTTTGAAGCGGTCCTTTGCTCAGATCGCTTGTGCCCGGAGTCGTGTGGGTCGCAAATCCCAGACTGGTTCCATGCAGCCCTGCCGAGGTCAAGCAAGAGCCTGACCAGACCACAGACGTCGTTGGTCTCTCGCGGAGAGCTTGGTTTGTAGCACGATGCCACATCTGAACTGTACTACTTGGCTTTGGCATTGCTTTGTGAACCTTGAGGCTCTGCACAGAATTCAGCAAGGGCGCAGTGCTCAGCCCACCTGCAGCGTAATGTGGCATGATTTTCGAGGACGTGATGTGACTGCAGGGCGCAAAGGGAAGAGGCAGCCTGGATTGGCTTGGCTGCAATACCTCGCATGCGTATGGCTCAGCCGCGCATGCAATAATTCAAAACTAGTACGGTACATATTTAGATGCGTCGCTGGCAGTTTCTGCTTTGTTTCCGGCATCAATGCTGTGACATCGCCATGAGGGCGCAGATGATCATAGGCGTCTTTCTGACGGCGTGGCCCCCAGCGTGTTTGATTGTTGCCTCCGTTTCCAGCTGAAAGCCCGCCTGGTAGAACAAGTTTGCACACTGTAGGCGGTGTGGCACACATGCAGTGAACTCAGCTTGGGGTGTTCATGCATGTCGCTGTTGTGGAATGTGCGCCACCTTGAGGCGAGGGCAGCGGCCGTGGCAGGAATCTGAGATGTGAAGACTTCGTAGGAGGGCTGGCCCAAACTGCTCGCTTAGGCTACCACTCCCTGACGCTGCATTGGCAAGGGTCTTCACGGGTGAGGCAACATCACATTGGCGCAGTGTCTTTAGTTCTTTGCAGCCTTGCAACATCTTGTGACTGTGCATTATTTGGCAGGGGATATCTTGGGCAGGGTGCTTCAGCATGCATGGATTCAGGGGAGCATGTCCGACAGTGTCATCGAGGGTGCGAACCTCAGTTGACCATGGTTGCAGTTGTACTTATAGTGCCTGAGTTGTGCCAGTGCTTGGTCTCAGGAGGGCCTGCTCGACCCAACCTGCCAATTGTTCCGTCCTTCGAGGCCATGCCCCAATATGCCCCGATCACATTTAAGTCTGCGGTTTTAGGTCATGTCCCCTGGAAGTGGGGGTGTTCGCTAAAAATCCCAAGTGCCCCAGCACGATGCCCATGCAAACTTGGCCACAGGGGCGGAAGCGAGTCGCTGAAGAGGCGCGGCGGAAGACCGCCAGAGACAACGAAAGAAGGACGCGCCCAAAGTGGCTTGAAAGTTTGTGGAGGGAGGGAGCTTGGATGGACCAGGGGCACGCAGTAGCACGTTTGAAACTTATATTTGAGTGGCTTCTTTGCGTGCTGCGGGCAGTTCTGAGTGCTTCCGAAACGTACTTCAAAACATTTGGATGCAAGTCTTTGATCAGCTGCTTAGATCCTTTGAGGAGTGTCGTTGCTTAGCTTGCTGGTGAGATCTGGTGAGATTGGTTGTTTCCGTCATGTTGTCCTTCATGTTCTGATTTTTGTTGCAGAAGGTTGCGCTCGACCAGCAGCCTTCGAAGTTTGTGGTAACATGTAACATGCACGCCGCCAACCGGTCTGAACTTTAATGACTAAGCTCGCAACGCATGGCCTGGGATTTGGATTATGTTGATGCTTCAGACAACTTCCCCTGAGATGCCCTGGCCACATCCAGCTTTGACCAAGAATGTGGCAGAGATCTAGTGCCACTTGTGGGCCATATGAAGCCCGCCCTGATTGATCGGGATTTAATCAACTCGCAACGGTACTCTCCGCTATGCCAATGTTGGTGTAATTATTTATGTTCATGCCGCTTACCTCAGATACCTGCAGGAGGCGGTTGGAAGCTCTGGAGGAGGCCAATCGTCGCCGGGAGGAGCGGCGCAGGAAGATGCATGCCCAAGCCCGGTGTCCGAGAAGCGAAAGCGGTCAAGGGGCTGGAACAGGATGCTCGTGGCTTCATGTTCCTTTTCTTCCCCTTTCTCTGTAATTAGTCTATGCGCGTGTCTGGCAAATGTGGCTGCCTTCAACTGGGCCACCCACTGTCAGAATGAACAATCTCACCAGGTAAGATTGGGGAGAGCAGCCCAAGCTTGGGCTACTCTTCACGGGTGACAGCCCAGTTGCAATGCGCCACTGGCAGGCCAAGTCTAAGCTCTCGGGTGCCCTTCCGCTCACGGCCAGAGACTGCAATCACGAAAGCGGCTTCAGGCTCGACGGCTCCTCGTGCTGCGACAAAAGGCGCCTGCGATGGGGCATAGCTTTCAGCGCAAGCGTGATGTACCGCATACACCATGGGACAAGTTGTGTGCTTTTGAAACTTTTGTCCGTGTCAGGCGCTGGAAGCTGAACAGGAGCACGAAGACGTGGAGGATTTGGAGGACGTGGTTAAGCGCTGGCGCCGTACTTGCCAGAGCGCGTGCGGCTAAGCATCCGAAACTACCCCTTGGATCCCCTTGGTTGAAATGCGTGCAAAGGGCTAAACGTTTCATTTGTGAATGAGCAGCATCCTTTGGAGCTCTTTGGCTCACCGCCTAAAGGCTGCCAATGTGGCAGTGCAGCTGCGGCTTCCACAACAGGGCCTGCAATGCAGTCTGTGGCGGCGAGGGTGTTTTGGGGTGCAAGGCTCCTGGTGCTTCCGCTGCTTCCACTGCACCTGCTTGCGAGCCCGAGCCTGAAATCCCACCAAGAGGCGAGAACTCGCTGCGGCTGGTGACCTACAACCTGTGGTTCAGCCCAAAGGAGCAGGCCTTGCGAATGGCGGCAGTTGCCAAGATTCTGGAGGAGGCTGACGCTGATGTGGTGGCTCTTCAGGAAGTGACGGACGTGCTGCTGGGACTGCTACTGGCAAACCTGGATGACAAGCAGTGGCAAGTCCTGAAGCAACTGCCTGCCCATCCGGAGGACCTTTTTACGTATGAAACAAGTTATTTTACTTGTCTATTTGTCAGGCGTCCTGCACGCATCATTGAGCACCTATGCGTGCGCTTCACCATCACTGCCATGGCCCGCGCTTTGCAGTACGTTTTTCTTGCAGTAGATGGTCGCACTATCATCGTTGCTACCTCTCACTTGGAGTCGCCGGTGGCAAAGCGGTCTTGCCAAGACATCCGGGAGCAGCAGCTAGAGGAAGGCAGGGCGCAAGGGGATTTCATGAGCTGTTCCTGGCCCTATTGAGGCACTTCTGCGTTTGAGTGGAGCGTTGCAGCTCATGGTTTCCAGGTGTTCGATTCGCTGTTAGATTCAGATGGCCTGCTCGAATGTCTTTGGGTCCGTCCGTCCGCAGGACTCCGTGAGTTGCGGCGCCTGCAGGATCTCCACAATTGCCTCGGAGCAGTGTGGCTGGGCGATATGAATTGGGAGACCGAGGAAATGAACTTACCCCCCGGCTGGACAGACGTTTGGCCGGAGATGCGCCGTCCAGAGCCCACCTTCCATGCCAATCAGGGGCAGTCGTGCTCCACTCTTGCCCGCCTGGACCGCGTTCTTGCATTTGGGATGCGGGGATCATTTATATCCCGTCTTGGTATGCAGGAAGTTGCGGGTGGATGCTACCCGAGCGATCACTACGGCGTTTTGGTTGTGCTGGCTTTGCCGCCGGGCCATTGATGCGCCATCCAGCTGTTCACCCCGGGATGCTTTCAATGTAGACCGAGATCATCCAGCAGAACGAACCCCTGAAGAAAGGCATAGCTCAGGGCTATCATGCCTGATGTTGCTGCCAATGCTTGACTTAGAGCGGGTGCCAGCATGCTGACGAGAGAGATGGACTTTTGCCTGGTGCATATTGGCGTCGAGTTCCCAGAGATAAGGTGGCACTTCAAGTCAAGACGGCGCAACGCCGATCTCGTGGCTTCAAAGATTACCAGAACCACGCTCTGCTTATCCGCATTCCAGATATTGCAGCTACAGGGTCTCATAGTGCGGCAACAAAACTCACTCAGCTTCTCTCAAGTGAAGCGTGGCTCACGGGAAATCATTAGGCAGATCAGTGGGAGCAAGCTTGCCCATAGAGCCTTGCATGCTGGCAGGAGGACAGCTCGCCGGGTCACAAACACCAGGACTTGGTTCTCTGCCTGTTGTCATTGTTTTTTTTCCGCCTGGCCGTCTTTCAATTCAAGGATGCACGCCACATGATTGCCAATTGCAGGATGGGGAGCGGACGATCAGATTCATGCCGCCCTGCGACGAGAGCTCCGCAGGCGCGAAGCTGTGAGGGCTGCCATGGTGCCAGCAAGGTCAAATGACAGCGCCCGGAGCAATGGAAAACACAGAAACACGGAGCGAACGCACTGCGCACGCAGGCTCAGACCCGGAGAGCTCCGAGTCCTCGCAGGACGGGAAGGGGTCAAGGAATGAGCGTGCGGTTTCCAGAAGCGTACCCCGGTTTTGTCAACCTCGGATGAATAAACCCATGGTATTAAACCGGCCCACACAGGACCCCCGAATACTACACAGTTTGAAAAACTGGAAGTCATCTAAACAACAAAACAACACAAACAAACCCATGGAAGTAAACCGGACTCCCACAAAAGACCCAATTTCAGGAAGCCCCACCCCAAACAAAAAGTTCAAATCCCCAAGAATCCCTAGTGATGCAGCTGGTCTCAGTTTGTCATGCTGCTGCACCTAAACCTTGCTGCATGTTCTTCCATTTGCTTTGTAATGCCAAGAAAAGCTGCCAGTGCCAGCCTTGCGCTAGTGCCAGCTCAGCCACAAAGCATGGCCAAGCCAACGCAAACATCAGCCAGGACTCCCTGAAATCCAAAAATGTGCAGCTTTCGGAAAATGCAATTTCTTAATTAAATCAGTTTCACAAAGTGATGGTTTAAGGTCACATGAGGTACCCCACACACCCATGTCAACATGGGTCATTAATGTGGCCCCCCTCAGTCCTGAAAAACACATCAAATTCCAGCTTTGTGCTTACTGGCACTTGTCTACTAGCACAGCCATGAAGCATTGCCAAGCCAGCACAAACATCATCAGCAAGAACTCCCTGAACTCCAAAAAAGTGTGGCTTTCTGAAAGTGGTGCAATTTCTTTGTCAAGTCCCTTTCAAAAAGTCATGGTTTGAGAAGGTCACATGAGGTACCCCACATGAGTGCCCAGGCCACTTTAATAATGTGGGTTCACATGTTATTAATTTCGGCCATTTGGGCCGCACCCAGCTTTGAGCTGCAGCAATACTAAATCAAATGGAATGTAAAATTCCACAATACTAAATGAACTGGCTCAAATAAAAATCCAAAAGAGATGATCCAGCAATACTAAATCAAATGGAATCCCACAATACTAAATCAACTAAACAATCAAATCAAAATTCAAAACAAAATTCCAATAATAAATCAATCGGAAAGCGAAATCCCACAATACTAAACCAACTGGACACTGAAATCAAATTCAAAAGGAAGCTCGAGCAATACCAAATCAAATAGAAACTCAAATCCAACAATACTAAATCAATACTAAATCAATTAAGTGGAAGCTCAAGCCAAATTCAAAAGGAAGCTCGAGCAATACTACATCAAATGGAAACAAGGGCCGAAGCTCCCTATGGGCCGAAGCTCCCTTTGGAATTCATTTGGAGTTTCGATATCCTCACTATTCTGAAGTAGTATTTTCCAATACCAAAGTAGCATTGCCCAATACTAAAGTAGACCTCCAGGTTTATCTCGGTGTCAGTTTTTTTTGAGCCCAAATACCTTCTCGACCTTCTCAGGGGGACGGGGGGTATTAATCCGATGTCAACATTAGCAAGCACCGCGTTTTTCCATGCCCGGAGGATGAGTGCGAGACGCGTGACCCGAAGCCAGTCAGGCAATTTCGGTTTCTTCGGGAAGGCCGCTCTGAACTCTGAACTGGCAGGCTGCCCTTATGGTATCCAGACGATCTACCGCTGGCTAGCGGCCCTTTCGGCCCGCATCTCAGGGGCTCGAAGCTGCTCACATTAGCTCACCGCGCGGCTCAGCCACTTCACTTCGGCCAGGAGCTTCCACCAGCGAGTTGCCCGTCAGCCACCTGGTGCCACCTGCGCCGACAGCAAGGCACCACTGCTGCAGGTACTTGCCCACTGAATTCTGGGGGCTCTGCAGTTCTGTTTGGACAATCCCACTTTGGAAGTTTGGAAGCGCATGTCAGCTTGCACGCGGCTTTGGCAGTTCAGTTTCCACTCGTTGCAGGTGTACGGGGCACAACAAGGTGTCGGTGAGCTGGCAACTGCATGGGACAAGGCAGATATCAGCAGGAATCTATTCCGTTCTTTTCTGCATTTCGCCTGTTGCAGGGGCTTGGAAAGTGTTAGGGCTCTCCATTCTTCACTTCATGCGACACTGGAACCCTGCATTCGTGCAACTACCTGGTTAACTGCCTCTGTACTCTTTGAAGGCTGCTGGACTTCACTTGGCAAGTTCGAATCCGCAACGGGGGCGGTCAGTGGCAGAAGGCGCTGCATTTGGAGTAGGCTCTGACGCAGCTCAAACTTCCAAATGAGGTTTTGAGTCTGGTGGGGGGCAACCGGGCACGGATCATGGTGGCGAGGTGGACCTGGATTCTGGCCGCATAGAGCCGCCGGAGGTCAATACACTGCAACGGACCCAGACTCTCAGATGTCACGAGATCAGCTTGAATGTGGCCCGGTAAGGTCCTGGAAGCATCGGGCCTGCCTTGTGCAGAAGGGCTTGAAGGCGAAAGGGTGCGGCCCGGGGGGGGGGTGCAGCGTGTGCTCGCGACATGCAACCTCCTGGCAGCACCAGTGGTTGGTACCAGCGGCAGTGGTATGTCATGGCTCGTGATGTGGTAGCGGCTGCCGCGTGACCAAATTCACATCACCGCAAGGTGCTGAGCTTTTGCGTGGAGGAGGGCCGCAAAAGCCAACGGCCAATCCCAGGCTGGGCAAGGAAAGATTTGCGTGCAGAGCCGTCCTTTCCAGAGGCTTGTTTTCTAGAGGGCGGTCACTTCAAGGAATGTAACAAGACCTGTGACTCTTATGACGGCGCTGGGAGTTTGTCACTTCTTCTGCTCCTGCACTGCAGGCACGGTAGTCTCCCACTACCCTGGCTTAGTGACGGCGGCTGGGTTGCAAGTGACCCATGCAATTCCACAGTACATGATGCCACAGAAGATTGAACAGCAAGGAGTTTCACGGCGTGCTTCCCAGGTTGACTTTGAGCTCATGGGTGGACAAATTGTGCGACAGCGAGTGCCGCAAGATTGGGTCCTGCTGGCCGCAACTTCCCGCGAGATCAAGGACATCCCAAGCCGCGACCATTGATGCCAGACATAGCTTTTGAATTGGATTGTCAGTTGCATAAAGGCATACGGCACAGCCAGGATGTTGCATGGAGCTTGCTGGAAACCAGGCAGGCCGTGTGGGACACCTCTTGCAAAGCTTTGTTTGCACATTGGGACACCTCTTGCAAAGCTTTGTTTGCACATTGGTGGCATGCCAAGGTTCGGCCCAGGCCGTGGTGGCAGGCAGGCAGCACCAGAAGAGCCATTCGAGATTCGAGACAACTGTTTGACATGCTCGCACCACGAGTTTGAGTGGTGCATTTTTGCCCACTGCTTCACTGCTGCCCGCATGCCACGCGCTCGACCCAAGGCGGCTCTGGCGAGTGGCCAAAAACAAGGCGAGGGAGGGCGCTCGGCGTACAGATAGAACATCGAACCACTTGTAAGACAAATATTACAATCAACGTCGACGAAGTGACGCCGATGAAGCGGCTGGGATGCGTTTTTGCGAAGATGCTTGACCAAGGGCGCAACGTGGGTTCAAACGTCCGCATCTAGTCACAACCCCGATGCCCATTGCAGCATCGATTCCATTTAGAAACGGAGAAATCGGCAACTCGGATCGCACACTTTTGTCCTTTGAAGGGGGAAGGCTTCAGACCACCGACTGGCGCATGGCCGACTTCTTGCTTCCGCGCCTGGATCCCTGCAAAGCAATCCAGACAGATGCGAACGGATGCGACCATTCGTGCATCTCACGCACCTGGACGTTCCTTTGCGACTTTTCCAGGGCGATTCACGATTCAGGGCTTTCTTCATAGGTATTTTGTGAAGTGTGCTTTTGTGCGGCCATTTGCGGGCGTTTTTCCACAGCTGAGGCGTTTGTGGCAGTTTGCGGGCATTTGCGTTGTAAACGAAGGAAAAAGACAGCAACTTGGAATGTGCAGGTGGCAATATCTGTCAGCCGCTTCCCAACCCATGCTGGAAGTGTATTGGTTGCCCAACTTTGCCGACAGGTCTATGAGCGCATCATCAGAACGCACCGGCAGTGCGCGGTCTTGTGGAAGCAACAGGCGCTGCTAGCATGGAAGCCCCAGCCCTTTCTTCTTTCTCGCACAGCCGCATGCTTGCCAGGTGCAACTTCCAGAGCCCGGATGTCGAGTTTCTATCAACTGTGCCATGGGTTTGCAGGCGAATGCTTTCTTTGTGCTTCTGGTCATGTCTCACTCAGCATGTGGCTTTGCTCTCATGGTGGCCTTAAGCTTTTCAGTGCTGATCAAGAGGTGACCGATCACGATGAGAAGGAGGACGTTTTGCCATACTTGGCAGTTTGCACATCAAGATTGTGACTACCTGATGGCACTGGCCTGAAAACAAGGTTTGTTAAAAGAAATGATGACGGCCATTGCAAGAAGCTGAATCCAAAATGCAACCTTGCTGCAGGTCATGGGCTAGCATTGCCAACGCCTACGGGAAGAGCGTGATATTCTTTTTTGAAGCCAGCGATGCCCACCCTGTTCTGCATATCTTGTTCTGGGCTACAGAATGCAACGCCTAAATGCGAAGCAGAGCGTTCGGAGAAAGGCATCCACCCTTCGACCTCAGTGGGCGCTGTGCAACACATTCGGAGGACGAACTCTCACCGGACGGCGGCAGAACCACAGCATCAAGGGAGGGCAGGTTTCAGAGCGCCTCCCTAAGTTGCTTGCGCTCCGCTCCCCTACTTCAAAGTTAATCCACGTACTCGAGCAATCCTCGGCAAGTAGACTGGCATACACATTTTGCGCCTCACATCCGTTGCTTTTGACTCATAATTTGAGCTTCTTTTGTTCGTGGTCCTGCGTTGGTACAGCCAAGTGCACACATGGCAAAGGCATCAGCTCCTGGTGGCCGGCTGTTCTACCTGTTGAGGCAGGACATATGCAAACTCATATTGTTGGACTCTCTTTAATGTAACCCCCCCTTGAACAGTGGAAACAGTCAGCTGGACTCTCTTTTGTGAATTCCTGGGGGGTCTGGGAGGGACAGTACTTACTTTAGTATTGCCCAGGACCTTTTTTTCAGCAACCCCCAAAACCAGCTGGACCCTAAAGAGGGCCCCAAAACAGTCGCGTTAAAGAGGATCTGGGCCTCTTGTGGGCGCCCCCCTTTGTGCGATTGATTGCCCGCACTTTCTTGGTAAAGAAGTTATCTATAGTTATCTTAAATTTGATGGTTTGGGGACCACTTCAAGAAAAGGATCCCCCGATGTTTGCCAGGATCTGTTTGCTCGTTTTTTGCCCGACTTGTTTGCCAAGTTTTTTGCCCACATTTTGCAGCGTTGTTTCCGGCAAAAAAACTTCCCACAATAGAGGGCCCCTAAAACTGTCAAATGATTCTGAATTAGAACAAAAGTTTCCACGGTAGAGAGTACTATGAATAAAGGAGGTCCAACGTTACCCTCCAGCTGTCAAATGGCCATTGCAACAACGTGAAAGTTCAAGCAAGTTCTAC